ACAAGCACTCAGATGTTCTTGAGCAGTTGAGGATGAGAAGGATTGATATTGTAGGGATACTGGAAACTAGAGTTACTAAAGAAAATAGTAAGAAAATAATTGATGGTGTTTTTTCAGCTTGGAAACATACTGATAACTATGATAGTTCTAAATCAGGTAGAGTTTGGATATTCTGGAGGGCAGGTCTGAAGGTTACTCGTGTAAATGAAGGGGAGCATTATTTACAGATTCTGGTAGAGGATACTGCACCATTTATAGTAGTCTTTGTTTACAGTCCAAATAAAGAGGTGGAAAGGAATAGACTCTATCAAGAGTTATTACTCAGAAGAGATGCTAGCATTCCTATGGTTTTCATGGGGGATTTCAACGCCATTGCTGAAATTAATGAGACTTCAAATGCGTAGGAGATTACTCAGAGTATGCAGGATTTCAGGGGTTGGATCAAGGATATGGAACTGGTTGATCACAAGGTATAAGGGAATTGGTTTACTTGGTGGAATATACAGCAGGCTAATCCTATAGCTCGTAGGATTGATAGAGTTTTGGTTAATGAGGCATGGTTGGAGAAGATTAAGGACATCTCATCTTACACAAATCCTCCTGGTATTTCAGAACATTGTGGTTTGATACTGGACACTGAACCTGGGCTGAAAACGCTTCCTAAACCGTTCAAATACTTCACCTTTTGGCAGGCTCACCCTAATTATGTGAATCTAGTTGAGCAAGCTTGGCAAAGGAGGGTGGAGGGGTATCCTTCGTATATTTTCTATGATAAACTCCATAGTGTTAGGCAGGCCCTGAAGCAATTAAACAGAACTGTTTATTCAGACATTTCTGCTAGAGTGAAAGGTGTAGCAGTGGAACTGGAGGCTGCTCAGAATAAAGTTCTTCTAAATCCTAATGCAGAATCTGTGGCAAAGGAAAAACAGGTGTGTAAGGAGTACCTTGAGTTGAGAAAGGCAGAAGAGCAATTATACAGGCAGAAGGCTAGAACTCAAGCTATACAGGAGGGGGACTCGAACACTGCTTACTTTCATAAAACTGTAAGAATCAAAACTCAGAGGCAGCATATTACTCGTATGCAGAATGACAGGGGTGAGATTAAAACTGATGTAGAGAGTATTGGTAAGATTGCTGTGGAGTTTTATGAGCAACTGATTGGAGTTGAGGATTCTAATGTGGAGGTAAAAGAAGAGTCTTACTATCATGGTTTAATTCAGCACAGCTTATCTGAGGATGAGAAGAATGAGTTGATGAGGGGTATTACAAGAGTAGAGATAAAGAAAACCTTTCTTTCCCTTGCCAAGGATAAGGCCCCAGGGCCAGATGGATTCCCAGCTGAATTTTATAAAGCTCATTGGTCTCTTATTGGCACTGAAGTTGAAGAGGTAGTTCTTTCTTTCTTTTCTACTGGATTTATGCCATCTGCTTTGAATAGCACCATTTTTACTCTGGTAGCAAAAATTCCTAGCTCTGAAAAGATGAAGGATTATAGGCCCATAGCTTGCTGTAATACCTTGTATAAGGGTATTTCTAAACTGTTAGCTAATAGACTTGCCCTAGTTCTTCCCAGTGTGATAAGTAGATCTCAATCTGCTTTTATTAAGGGGAGGTCTATAAGTGATAATATTCTACTGGTGTCAGAATTGGTTAGAAACTACCATAGGAAGATTATAACTCCTAGATGTGTGGTGAAGATTGATATAATGAAGGCATTTGATTCAGTAAACTGGAAGTTTCTGTTTAGTATAATGAAGGCAATGGGGTTTCCAGAGGGGTTTATTACATTGATCTTTGCTTGTGTCACTACACCTACTATTAGAGTTGCAGTCAATGGAGGGTTGTGTGGAAATATAAGGGCTGGTAAAGGTTTAAGGTAGGGGATCCATTATCCCCCTACCTGTTTACAATAGCAATGGAAGCATTGGATTGTTTGGCTAAGAAAGCTATGGTGGATAATCAGATCCCTTACCATCCTCGTTGTAAACCTCTTATGATTTCCCATTTATGTTTTGCGGATGATTTGATGATGTTTACCAATGGGTCAATCAGAGGGGTTGCAGGCATTAGAAGGTTAATGGATAGTTTTTATAAGCTGTCTGGATTCAGATGCAACCCAGCAAAATGTCAGCTTTTCTGTGCTGGTATTCCAAAGGAAGAAATGCTTGCTATTTCTGTATTTACTGAATTTCCTCTGGGAACACTTCCTGTGAGGTACTTAGGAGTCCCACTTATAACAGGGAAACTCACTAGGCAAGATTGTAAGGTGTTCGTGGATAAGATAACACAAAAACTGAGAAGCTGGAGGTCCAAACTTCTAAGCTATGCTGGGAAAATACAACTTATCACCTCTGTCATCTCAAGTACTCTTCAATATTGGCTCAACATATTCTTACTGCCTCAATTTGTTATCAAGGAGGTGGGTAGGTTGTGTAATGAGTTCCTGTGGGATTCTGCTGAGGATGGTAGTAGAAAGAAAGCAGTTATGGCTTGGGACAAGTTGGCTACCCCTAAAAAAGAGGGTGGACTTGGCATTAGAAACTTTGGAGTATGGAATAAGGCGTGTGTATTGAGGCATTTATGGGAGATCCTTACTCTGGGGGGGGGGTCTATTTGGGTTGCATGGATTTCAAGGTATAGGCTGAAGGGTAGAAGCATCTGGGATATCTCAATTGCTTCTGCTGGGACATGGATTTGGAAACGGGTGTTGAAATGTAGGGAGATAGCTTATCCTTTTATTTCTGGGGTTGGAAGCAACACTCTATGGCAGGGGGGGGCAAATGAAAAGGTTCTCAGTGTCCAGGGTGTGGAATGATATTAGAGAGAAAAAACCAGAAGTGCAGTGGTGGAGATTAGTCTGGGCAACGGAAGTCATTCCTAAGGATGGATTGATTCTGTGGCTTGCTATCCATGGACGATTGGTAACTCAGGATAAACTCTTGGCCTGGGGAAAAACTGTATCTGGTTGCTGTCTCTTGTGTCCAGGTGGGGTTGAGAACATAGATCATTTACTGGTTTATTGTTCTTACTCATGCTCTGTTTTAAAGCTCTGTTTGAAAAGTCTGTCTCCACCAGCAGTAGGAGGTTGGGAAGCAACGGTTGCTTGGTGTGCAAGGGAATGGAAGAAGAAGACTGCTAAAGCGAGTATCTGCAGAGTGCTGTGGAGTGCTGCTGTGAGCTACATATGGCGTGAAAGATGTTCCCGAATGTATGGGATTAAGGGCGTCAAAGACCCTGCTACGTTGGTGAAGTTGATACACGAGGAAGTTACTTACCGAGTTTGTGAAGATCCTGCCCTCCAGTTGGAATTAGATAGCATTGAGTAAAATATAGATAGGAGTGGATTGTAAGTTTTGTTACTTGCGTTGTTACTGTTTGAGAGGCGCTGCAGGGTTCCCTCTGCAAGTGGCCTATACTTAATGCAATTTTTGATTTCACATAAAAAAAATTGAGTTGCGCACACTCCAATTGGGTTTGTCCTAGACGAAAAAAACCTAAAGTCAGACAAAAAAATTTGGAGCGAGGGAAGGACCAATTAGGGTGCACGCCCCTATTAATCTTCCCACACCCTCATTCGTCTTTATCTTCGCCCATAAATCCTTTAAATCTACCACACATGATCTCCTTATTCCTCCTCCACTCCCCACCAAACAATCACTGAAATTACAAAAGTCACCGGTAACCTTTCTTCAGCTAGCAAAATAATCTGATCTAAGAGTTTTTCGCCTCATCTGACCCTTCTTCTCCTTTTTGTTGACCATAGAAGACAACGAATTATTATGGGCGGATGGTAAAAATTGACCCGATTTGGTTTGGACGAATGAGGTAGGTACTTTAATTTATGAGTTAAAAGTTAGTTAATTTAATTTGAGTTAGTATGAATTAGTAGTATATAGTTTGATTAGTGATTGACGTTAGATTGATTTATTTATAAAATTCATTAGTTCGTTACTTATTTATTAATTAGTTACATGATGATGCATAGGCTTTGGTTCGTCCATATAAGACTCGGGATACATCTATATTAGGCAAGTACTACGAGGAGGATGACTTACTTTGGGAGGTGATCTTGGAGGTTGGAACGACTTAATAGTTTTGTGGGGTGAGAGCAATTTCCAGTGATAGCCCCTTTAGATACATGCACATGGGATCCACTCACCTCAATCGATGATTCCCATCCGTGTGATGCGAGTTGGTTGTCCCAAATTCATTGTGCTCACATGGACTATATGTAGTGGTTCAGGGTGTTCCTCGCCGAGAGTAAATTAAGATTCATGGTGGTGAGTAATTGGTCCACGACTCCACGCCCAATTAAATTATGATACTAACTTAATGTTTTTTTAGCTAATTTAACACTCGTCATTTTGCCTTCTTAAAATCCCAATTGGAGCCCGCACGCCCCAATTTGTTTTTATGACAATAAATTGAGAAACATTTTCGTAAATTTTGAGTCATTTTCTTTTAAATTACAATATGTATGAACAACCCCATTTATTTCATATTTAAAAAATAAAAACTGTTCATTTATATACTTAACTAAAATAAAACGATGAGTGAAAGGTGCCGAATCGTTTTGACTGGTTAAAGAAAAACATAACATAGTGGTCAATGTAGCCAACCAGTGTAAGTGGCACCATGGTTCCCAGCTTCCCCTAAAGTTGCCGAGCAGTTAACAACTTAACACAAGAATTGGTCAACTATGGATTGATCTTTCTGGCAGGTACCGAATGGTGTGCTTCTTCGCACTTGCGCCTCTGTGAAAACTGAAATATTAGTGGTAAATCCATTTAATAAAATTGTATTTTGCTCAGATCGGCAAAGCGACTTGTGATAAAAATGGGAAGAAAAGTCAACATAAAAATCTAGCTACTAATATTTGTTGTCTTACATCCTTCTTTCCTTGAAGAATTTGCTTCTCCAAACACTCTCCGCCCTTATCTAACCCAGAAAAAGCAGGGAAAGTCGTCGGCCCGGCGGGACGCGGCGGAGGGGGCGCATCCATGAGACTAGACGAGAGCATCAACCAGTTCAGCAGGCACGGCACCGGCGCCAAAGGAGATCGGGGAAGAATAGAGCAAAGGGAGGAATCTCAGAGCCTCCACGGTCGATTGCGCGGCAGAAGTGCTTCTTTAGATCCCAACCACTCCGCCGCTGACGATCCCCCTACTTTCATCGACGACATCGATTCGGTCTCCTCGTTCCCTCCTCTGCTCGGCGGCTCCCCTGACCCGCCGCAGCAGCCGTTCGTCAACTCCTTCAGCCAGTTCAAACGGTGGCCCAGCCACGTCCCTTCTCCGCCGCCCCCTGGGGATCAGAATCATCATCCGCAGCATCCGCTGCACAAGTCAAACTCCACGCCTGTTCTGCACAAGCCGCGGATGGATGAGCGGTCAAATCAGGCGGCGGCGGATCTCAACGAGCTTCGGATTTCCGACAGTGAGAAACTGGCGGCGGCTGCCAATTTGGGGTATACCAATAGCTTCACCAAGGATCGGATGCTGAAGATGGGGACTCCAGCCTGGCCATCGCCATCTCCATCGCCTTCCCATTCGCCGCCGCTGAACCCCTTCCGGACGACATCCAATTCGTCGGAGGAGTCTACGCCGAAGCCGAAGCCGACGACGCACGTGGTGATCGGAGGTATTACTTGCCCGATGGTCCGGAAGCTGTCGCTGCTGCGGCATCGGAGCAACACGATGAACGGGAAGATTGATTTCATTAAGACATAATCGGATTAGGGAGTTTTTAAAGCTATCCGACGGTGGCGCGGCGGTAGCCCAGCCCAGGCCGATGAGCGGAGGTCGGTGCGTCGATGTTTATTTCTTTTGTTTATTGGATGGAACATATTATGCAGCTTCATGGTTCTGATTTTGAAGTATCTTCACTCAGAAACATCTATTGAATCTTTGTCCAAAGTAATTGTTGTGGCAGAGGGAGGTGGCTTCAGTCTCATTCATTCATAGCTAACCCAAAACTCATAAAAAGCTCACTCATTCAGCATTCATCCATTCTTCTTCTTCTTCCTCCTACTTTGTTTGTAAGGGATTCCTGCAATGTTTTGTATATATGCCTCACTTGCTCTGTATGATAGCTTGAGAGCTTCACATGAGTAGTAATTCAGAAGTCAAAACATGTTGACATATTAAGGAAGTTAGATTTTGGAATTGAAGAAATCAAGGAAGTCAAGAAATCAATCAAGCAAAATCTAAGCGAGCTAGATTTCAGTTTTCCTTTTTTTTTCTTTCTCCAACGGCCATGTATAATCTTCGTATAAGAATGTTCAGGTTTTAAGTTTCTTTCGTAACTTTGCAGTCGAGTGGTAGAGAGCTTGGGGGTTTACTACAAAGGGCTCGATGATCATAGATGAATAGGGTCTAGATCATCAAGGTTGTATCACCTGGAGTAGCTGGAGTAAGGTTTCTGTATTATGCAGGTACTGCAGGAGTGGGTAATTGGTAGGTTAGGTCGGTTTTGATTTCAAATTGATCTATTTACTTATAAGCGAGTTGGCATAATTGTGACTTAAGATCCACTAACATTCCTCTTCGAGTTGGGTTGGTGGGTGGCAGATGAGCATGGCTGGGTTGTGAGTTAACTTGCAAAAACAATTTTTCAACTGACCATTAAGCAAGTAGACTAACATTTATAATAGATTCTTCGCAAATTCATAAGATAGTAACAATTGAGAATATCTCACATTGTTTACTATGGATCTATGTAGTATTTGTATCAAATTTTTCATTACTCTATCATTGAACTTTGTAGAGATAATTGACACATTTTACATCTTAGATACAATTAATAGGTTATCATTTGCAGTATCTAATGAATAATTACACAACATAGTAACCAATAATAGTAGTCAAAATTATTGTTTATTCTCGTCTTGTTCATTTTTTAGTATATGAGTTTTTTTTCTGTCTGAATAAAAGTCGAAGCTCTCGGAGATGATAGGTAACAAAGTTGGTGAACCTCGTTAAATTCGGTTGTTCTTTCTTTCTCCATTCACTTGGGCTCTAGCAAATTAACGCAGCCTTGCCTCTGGTTAGGGATGACAGTGGGTAGGGGTGAACAAACATACCCGCAAACCGACCCACCCGTCCAAACCGACCCAACCCACCCGTATTTATCGCCAAAACAAAGATTTTGGGTTGGGTGAGGGTTTTGTTTTGTACAACCCACCTCTTTTGGGTTGGGTTTGGATTTTGGATTACACAACCCGTAGAACCCGACCCAACCCGTGTTCCAACTATTAGTATGAGTTCGTATCTAAAAAATATTTATGTCGTATATAGCCATACTTATGAGAAAATTAAGATATTTCGCCATGTTTTTCTCTCATGGTCTCCCTAATCTAATGCATTATTCGACTTAAAGTATAGACATAAATTGAATATAGTTATGATTCACGTAATCGTTTTTCTTGTGTACAATTTTAATAGAATAACATATTGTGGGTGCGTTTGTTTATAACCTTTTTAGCCTATTTCAACAAATATCGTAAAAAAACTAGACGTATTTTGAAGTAAATCACATTTTATTAAAATTCAAACAACATTTGTGAATTTTGGTACCTTTCACCACGGTTTATTCTTTTGAAATTTTAATTAGTTATAAAATATTTTTATGATGTAGAATATTTATATATTTTATGTTGGGTTGAGTTTTTACTTAAAAATATCGCCAACCCGACCCAACCCAATTAGAAACAAACCTTAAGGTTTAAATTTTTTTGGGTGAGTTTGGGTTTGATATTTTCCAAACCGTAGTGCATGAGTTGGGTGATAAAATGGCTAAACCCGGACCACCCGACCCATGTACACCCCTAGCAGTGGGTTTGGTTGAGTTGGGTTTAGCCAAACCCTAATCAAAACTCATGAGTATATCCACACACAAAATATCCATGATAAAACCTATTGGATTTGGAAAACTCAAACCAATCTATGTCATTGGATATCCTGATAGAAACCTGAATTTCAGGTTTCTTGATTATTGCTAGGAAATGGGAAAATGGATACACACTTAGGGATTTATCTCCCTTAAGCGATGGGAAAGAGAGAATTGTGAAGGGAATTTCATAAAGAATGAGGAGAGGGAGGAAAGGGATGTTGCGGCAGCAGCTAGGGACGGAAGAAAGAGACGACAGGGAGGAAGAAGAGAGTAGGAAATAAGGAATTTGATTTTAGGTTTAATCTTGCTTAATGGTCAAATTCCACTTATAAAAATATTTATTTAATTGAATAGTTCTCTAATGCTACCATAAATTATTAATTCCCCACAAATAACCCATAATAAATCCCAAATAGTTCTAAAGAACAATAAACTGACAAACAATCCAAATAATCAAACTGCAAAAATGTCGATTTCTATCATTCTCGACTCCTTGTAAACAACCTTGTCCTCAAGGTTGACTCCAACTCACTGGTTCTCCTCTTTGACGTCCGCTACCTCCTCATTTGCTTTGTCCTCCCAGCAACCCACTAGCATCATCAGATTAGGCTTTGCGCATTGGTGACCGAACGCGAACCGCTCGTTATACTTGAAGCACTTTCTCTCCCGTCTCTTTTGCTCAATCTCTGCAGGAGATAGCTTGACGAAGCCCTTTGGTGGAGCTCGGGGGTCCCGTTCTAACCATCGCAGTCGCCAAAGTATAGGTCCCTGCTGCTACAATGCTTGCCCCCGCCGCAACACTTCTGCCCGCTGCCCGTCGAGCTGCTGCTCCCTCCTCCACTCAGCCTCTGATAGCAAACGATGGTGCTTCTCCAGCTCGCGAGCTCCTTCTTATGATTTGCAAGACAGAAAGCAGTCCTTACGGAGTCTATCTCAAACACTCTGACCGTAGCTGCAATCTCTAGCTACAGGCCAGCCAAACACAACCCCACCAGTGTTTCTTCTGGCACCCCCTTGCACTGATTTCCCAGCTTGAGAAACTCCGACCTGTACTCTGCCACGGTTCCCATCTGTCTCAGCTTGTCTAACTGCTCGAGTGCCCATCTTTCTTTGCCAAACTGATACAGAAGTTCCTCCTGAAACCTTGGCCACGTGATCAGTGTCTCGGCGGTGCAGTAAGATCTCTCCAGCCACTCCCACCAATGCAGAGCATCTTCATCCAAGTAAAAGGACGCCATTATGCACTACCTTTCCTCTTAGGTCGAGTGGTTCTTGAACCACTTCTCAGCTGCATGTAACCACAAACCTACATCCTCTTGCTCATTGAATCTTGGGAACTCATTGGTGGGAGGTTTAGCTTTGAATACTTAATCATCCTCCATATCATTAAATCAGACATATCCACCATACATGTTATCATTAAACCGGCCATATCCACCATACTTGTCACCTCACAGCAATCCTGACTCCCCATACTGGAACCTCGCGCCTTCCTCACCATCTGGATGGCTCACATACCAGCTTCTCTGATCTTGAGGTCCTTGCCCACCTCCGTCCTCTAATCCGGATGATTCCCCGCAGCCTGAGGAGTCACAAACAGAGGTTAACAGCCTCTGGCCCTCCGGCGGGTCCCCCCAGCTCGAGTTGACCCTGATGTCTCCTCTAGCCTGCTGCTGGACTCCCCAGTTTGGTTCGACCGGGGGTTGGTCCAAAATGACCCCTTCAAGAGCAAACAAAAGACTATTACTCTACCTTTATAACCCCATCTACTTTCAGCAATCTAAAATACTTAAAGCCACAAAAATCGGCATCATATTTGGCTTATTACAGTAGTAAAACTATATGTCTTCCAAAACCGTCTTCACAAGAACTTCGGTAGGCCTGTCATGATCACCATGTAACCTCTTGCACCGCTCTTTCCAAATTGCAACAATGCTTAAGCACCATAGAATACCATGTACACGACTTGCTGCACTTTTTTGTTTGCTGAAGAAACTTATAGCTGCTACTGTTTCACTCCAAGTTGTCCTGTACAAGTGACTGCATTTCAAACAACTCGGAAAAGCAGGAGCATATGGACACTCAAATAAAATGTGTTCCCTCGACTCAGGGAGCTGATGATAGATCAAACACACTCCATCTGTGACTTCACTCCAACTGAGCAACTTATCCTTAGTGATTATGCCATCCAAAACTATCATCCAGGCAAGGAAGCTCGGAGTGGATAGAAGCTGCTACCTCCAGATGGCAAGTTCCCAGGGTACCGCAACCCATTTTGTTCTTAGAGAATCCCAAATCACAACTGCTGAAAATTGATGCATTAGTTGCCCATCTCAATACACAGAATCTCATTGCCAACTGAGATGAGATTGAACAACAATCCTAAGCAGGGGTGGTAATAGGTTAGCCGGTTAATGGTATAACCGATTACCGAACCGGTAACCGACGGTTATCAATTTTATCATTAACCGGAGATATCAGTATGCGGCAGGGGAAATCCAGCTATCGGTATACCGACTTATATCCGGTTAATAATTGGCGGTAAATCGGTATACTGAATATACCAGATATTTCTTGCATTCCTTCACCTTGGCTGAGATTTCGTGGTAGTGAAATGGGATCTCTGGTAGTTCAGCAAAGGAGAACCTCCTCCAATCAACTTCCTCTGGCGATTTTCGCAGGGAAGAAGAATGGGATATACCTAGACCTTATAGCTCCTCGCCGGAAATACTCCTTCCCCGCCACCACCGCCATCCAACAAACACAATGGCATTAGATTGTAATTCAGAACTCACCAATTGCAAGCTTCAAAAGTCAAGCCAACATGTTGAAAATGTCT